ATATATATATATATATTAAAGAAAAGGAAAAATCTTTGGTTTAAAACTTTCCGTAAATAAATAGGAATGATTTTTGAAACTTTAAAAAATCAAGAATAGCCAATAACTTAACAAATAATACTCCAAAACTTAAAACAATCAAAAAAATCTAACAATTCTTGCTACTTACCGACTTTATCTTAAAAAAAAAGACTATCTTGGGAATACTTAGTTATTTATAAATTTTAGAATACAAAACCTTGATGCTATCATTTTTAGGGCTGTTAATTTGGTTAGAGAACACAAGTTATTTATAAATTTTATAATACAAAACCTTGATATAATTATTTTTACTTTTTTAGGGTTGTTAATTTCATAAGAAAAATAGATAATCGTATATAAAAAATACAAGTTGCCATATTCTATCAATTTTAATAATTTTTAAATTATTATGTAATATTCCTATTGTGAAATCATTGAATTACTTTTTGGATTCTTCTTGTGTTTCAATGATGGGTAAGTCGGTCAAGCTACCTGCGTCCTGTCTGATCCGATTGTTTAGTGGCTCTTTTTAAGAGACGGGAATGTAAATATAAAACATCCCTTGGGAAAGCCTCACAGTGTGGTGGTCGGCGTAACAATAATGACATTTGTCTAATATGCCACTGCCTGTTTACTAGGATCATCATAGATTACTAATGCATGCATTCCATTATCGTGGAAATATTCCCCAATGGCACAGCCAAAATATGGGGCTAGATATTGCAGAGGAGCAAGATCCGAAGCGGTGGCTTCTACAAGAATGGAATATTCCATAACATTCGCTTCTGAAAGAATTCAAACTAATTGTACCATAGTTGAGCGTTTCTGTCCAATCGCTACATAGACACAATACAATGTCTTACTCTCATAGTTGCCCCTTGAGTTCATTTGCTTTTGGTTTAATATGGTATCGATAGCAATAGTTGTTTTTCCGATTTTTCGGTCCCTGATTGTAAGTTCTAGTTGACCACGGCCTACAGGAACCAAGCTATCTACTGCTGTTAACCTAGTATTCATAGGGTCATGCACATATTTACATTCAATAATCACATGGGTTTTCACTTCGACACGTCTTCGCTCGTGATCGCTTAGACCCTCTATCCCATCAATAGGTACTCCCAAGGTGTCTACCACACGCCCTGCATAGCCTTTCCCACAGGGACATCTACAATAGAGCCAGTGCGCTTGACAAGATCTCCTTTAATAGCAGTATCACTACCAAAGACAACGATACCTGCATTCTCATTCTCAAGATTCAAGGGCTATTCCTTTCATACCTTTAGCAAATTCAACCATTTCCCTAACTTGAATCTCGTTCAACCCATAAATACGTGCAATCTCATCTCTAACTGAGATCACTCGACCAATCTCAACCACTTGAAAATTCGTGTAAAAATTGATAATTCTCATTTCTTAATAGAGTCGTTAGTTCAGCAGCCCTTGGAGAGAATTACATGATTCTATTTATTTTGGGATATAATATATATATATATATATATATATTATATATATATTATATATATATATTATATATATATATAAGGGGGAATACCGCTTTCAATTTCAAAGAGCTCTATTTCTGCCTAAGATCTATTCTTATAGATCAGATTCGAGCTTGTACTACTAAACTAGGAGTTGAGATAGCGTGGAACACTAATACAATCCATTGTTAAATGTCTCTGAGCTCCTTCTTCTTTCGTGAAAGCATAGGAGTCGTTATGTTAAGCATTTAATCCTAGTCTTTATGTTATCTATGTTAGAGGACTTAGATGTACCTTATACTGAACAGTCTGACATCAAGTTGTTAGGACTTGAATCGCTATGCGAACACTTCACAAAAGACTGAAATAAAGCTCGAGTGGTTTATGAATCAGTTATTTAAGATCTTAGCCAAATGCTGAGCGGCTATGTAAGCACTTTGGGCGCAGGTTTCTCGATCGGACTTGACGAATTGTCATAAAGACATCACTTTGCTTTATATATATATATATATATATATATATATATATATATATATAATAAAAATGGATTATAAAATAAGATTCAATTAATTAGAAGCATTATAGTTTTCAGTTTGTTTTTCATCATCTAAAGAAAAACAAAAGAGAAACTAAAGTTATTTTAAAACACAAAACAAATATAAGTAGAAGTTGCTGAAGTAGAAAATGTTTGATGCTTGCTTAGCACACAGATCATACGCTATCTCCTCACCTACTAATGCTTGCAAAAATTGATCCAATAAAGCATTTGTTCGTACAAAACGCTCTCGAACCTCGCACTCTATCACTCACGGAAAAGAAGATGACTCAAAAAAATTGGTCACAAAGATTATTTTTTGGGTCAAGAAGCTTTTTGAAAAGACCCGATCCTTCCATAAAAACCACTAAACATAAAGTGGTTTCGCCGTATCCTTTGAGAACGTTATAAGAGAAAGACGGAAAAACAATGCTCACACATGCATTTCAGACGTCAAGAACCAAGAAAGACTCAAACAAACTCACTCTCGCTTAATTCACATATTTGGAACTCTTTTATAACACTCGGTTTTGGATTTTCTTCGTTCTTTAAGGGCTACGGCCCAATCTTCAGTTGTCATGAGTCTTAGGGCCTTAGGGAAGAAAGGATTTGGCCCTTTTCGGATGTGGGTGTTATGGTTTAAGTGATCCAAGTGTTCGATGGTGTCTTCAGAGGCCAAGGGTATAATCGTAATTTAATAACTCGGTCTTTTATGAATTTTGGGTTCTAGTTAGGGAAATTTAAAGGCAATGATGATTTGTTAGAAGCATAGGGCTTCTCGCCACCTTTTCATGTGGATATAATTCCGTTGGAAACGAACCTAAGATGAGGATGTTAGAGCAATTTAAATTATTGGCAGAAATGGCCTTTAATGGAAAAGTTTTGCAAATTAGTTTCCATGCGTGCATGGTAAGTGGCGTGTGCCTTAGGTGAGTACGCCCAACATAATGAGCATAGTGCCACGCCCTAATTTTTAGGGTTTGGGCACTATTTAAGCATCCTTATAAAATCAAGGCTCCTTCATTTCTCATTCTCCATTGACTTCTAGCCTCATTTCGGAAACCCTAACCTCTCATTGAGTGTTTGAGAGATCTAAGTGTGCGTTTTGGTGTGCTTTTGCTCATTTTCAAGGAAAGGGTGCTTGGTGCTAGCTTGTGGTTCAAAGGAAGACTTATATATCTAGACTCTTGGCTTTCATTTCCAACTTATTTAAGGGATCAAGTTCATACCTTGTCTTCTGTTATGTTTTATGGGTTTAGGGATAGATTTGTGCTTATTTTTGGGTTTTGAATCCTCCTTGTGAGTTTGAGCCACTCCTAGAGCCAATATTGCTAGATCTTGCCCTTTCTAAGTCTATAAGTTCGTAAAAATGTTATCTTGGTCCTTGCTTTTGGTCCATGCATGTTCTAGCTGGATTAGAATGGTTGTTAGCTCCCATCAAGTCTTGAAAATGCATAAAGGTGCCGACTTTATGCATTAAGAGCTTTATTTTAAGGTTCTCTAAAGTTTACGTGCAAAGTGCTTTAGTGGTTAAGTTAGAAAATGAGTTTTGGAATAAGCGACGTTACGCCCCACGTAACTGGATGTACGCCTAATGTACCTAGATTTTGCCATGACCTGGTTTCGTTGAGCTGGGCTTTGAGCTTGCTATGTTTTTGGGCTTCGCATCTTTGGACCACCTTGTTGCTTTGGGCCTATTTGGGCCATATAAGATCAAATGTTGGACTAAGGGAATTATTGGGCTTAGGATAAGGCCCATATAGGGGTTGGGTCGAATTTGGAAAATTGGGCCACTAATGGGCCTTTGTGGATCTTTTCGTTTTTCGCCTTTTTGGTTATTGGATCCAGACCTCAGTTTTGGTTCAAGTTGGGCCAGGGGTAGAATGGTCATTTTTATCCCAAGTATGGATTATGGACCATAGATTGGAACCTAATTGCTAATTGGGTGTTATTTTGTACTAATAGCTCGGGGATTCGTCAGGGCAACAGTTACGGATTTCTTTTAGTGAGCTTCAGCATTCGAGGTGTAACAACCCGTTATTTCAGGTCAGTAAAGCTCGAGTCATGTAATCTTCTTTTGAAAGGAAATAGAAAATGAAGTATTCAAAAACTCTATTTAGAGTACATTATGTGGTAGCTATTCTCATAAGGTTTCCAAACATATAAATAACACAAAAATCCGAGTTATAACGAAGAAGTTATGCTCATTATAAGTTTTTCCGACCAAAAACCGGCAATCCGAAGTTACGTAAAAACGCAAAGTTTCAATAAAACACTTTACGTCCTTAAGTGTCTAAATGAAAGTCATAGATATCGTTAAACTACAAACATACATGAAAAGAACGCTCAAGTCGGACATCATTTGAAGTCAATTGGGTTAATATTCGCATATGGGTTCAACATATGAATTTTTGATTTCGCAAGTTTAGAGTTCAAGAACTAAACTGTGTTCGCATCTGGAAATGAAAATTTTGTGAATCGCATTCGATTAAGTAGATAAAATGCGAAAGAGATAAATGCGAAGGGATGCGAAGGGTGTAAGAATGAAGATGCGAAGTATTTCACAGTAGAATGCGAAAGAGATAAACGAAGGGATGCGAATTAAAATGAAGATGCGAAGTATTTCACATTAGAAATCGAAAGAATAAATCGAAATGCGAAGGGTGTAAGAATGAAATGCGAAATTCACAGTAGATAAAATGCGAAAGAGATAAATGCGAAGGATGCGAAGGTAAGAATGAAATGCGAAATGCGAAGTATAAATGCGAAAGATAAATGCGAAGGGATGCGAAGGGTGTAAGAATGAAGATGCGAAGTATTTCACAGTAGAATGCGAATTGGGGAAGAAAACAGAAGATTTCAAATATTGTCCCTGAGTTTCGCATTTTTGGAAATCAATACTCAACTTCGCAAATGGGAGTCATAAATGATGAAATTGTAGAATTCTAAAGAGATAAATGCGAAGGGATGCGAAGGGTGTAAGAATGAAGATGCGAAGTGCACGAACTAAAGACCCGACCCGACACGTCCCATCCGACCCGCGTGCCAGCGACACGTCCCATCCGACCCGCGAACCCAGGAACCCATCCCATCGACCGCGTACCAAGGCTGACCAGCCTCCCTATAAAAGGGCATGCGAAGGCTTCCGAAAAGGGGCTCATTTCTCTCATTTCTTGCGTTTTCCTCATTTTCCGTGCTCGTACTACCACGAAGCCCTGGTCACTTCGTGCAAGATCTGAAGGTCGATTTTCTCCCGAGAAATCCCGAGATTTCCGAGGAAAAATCCATTTCCCGAGACCTAACTCTGCCGTTTTTCCATCTCGCTATCTTCAAGTTGTCAAGTGAGTTCATACCCCTTTTTAACACACTTTAAATACATCTTTAAATACTTTTACAACTCTTTTAGGGGGGGAATACAAGTAAACATACGGTTATTATCGTGCATTAGACTTATACGAGGAGTATAATGATCTTCGTTGTTAAAACATTTTATACATTCTAAAAACTTATGATTTCGGTTTATCAAATCATTGTGTGAAAGGTTAAACTTTGCATACAAAACTATCATGTTAATATATACTAAATTGAGAATCCATGAGACGCGCACATCTTCCAACTTTACTTTTCTTTATTAGAAAGTACTGCAGTAAGGCCTGTTTATAACCAGAATCTCCCGCGACGAGAACGTGTCAAATGTGTATAGATCTATACGGGAAGTCATGATCCCGCACCCTGACTGTTAGCTACAGTCCGTCTTTTGGGGTGACAGTTGTCATAGCAATGCGACGCCTGAAGAACGTCGTTACAGGCATATTATGTTTAGTATGGTTATAAAAACTCATCGGATATACAATTATTATGATATTAAGTTATGATGAACGAGTGGTTATTAAAACTATTCTTCATCCAACCGGTTCGATCTTCACGTAGTTTTATTATATATAAAACTATGACACATTTACGAGAAACGTGGTTTCTTACAATTTTCGGTCTTAGAGACTGGTATTATGTGCGAGGAATAATAAAAGTGTTTCCTGCATACAAACAAAATAGGAAAAGAAGGGATTTTTCCGGTGCAATCATTTACAACTTATAAACATATATGGGATTTTCTGGAACTAATGCATTCATTTTCAACACCACAAATAACAACTCTTTACATGTTGAAGCACTACGTTTACTGGAAAACATACACCTATTTTGGAATGGCATCCAATTTTTCTAAACAACTTATGGACTCACCAACTTAATTGTTGACACTTTTTCTTTGAAATAACTTGTATTCTCAGGAAATCGCTAAGCAGGTTGGGATTCAACTTTTGGGATTAACGCGCTGGCGTTAATTACTTCATTCTAATTGAAGTTTATGTACCTTTATTTTTAACATGTAATGA